GGCGGGATGCGGCCGTGGCAACCGCAGATGCAGGATGTGGTGGGCCTTGCCGCCGCGGCCGATCCCCAGTTTGTGAGGCTCCGGGACAACGCCCGAGAGAAGATGTAAGCTCTTACTGCTTTTCTCTGCTCCAACCGCGATTGCGTAGATTAGAATATTTCGAGAAAAAACTGGAACGCGAAGTAGTCGTATCCAGTGACCTACTCAACAACAGTATCACGTTTATCACTCTGCCTTGTATCATTCCCAACAAATACTTATCATCAAAGGTGATCAATCGTGGACTATGTACCTGAACCTTCACAGGGCTTGCATATAAATTTTGCATATTTAAGGGCTGCGGTTGAATCCCTGTAACAGTTACAAAAAGATATCTTCTACTCTATCAAAGCTTTTTTTTTTTTGCGGGGAAACTCTATCAAAGCTAATGATCTGAATCTGATATTAATTCACAGATTCAAGTTTTTGCTAACGTTGCAATTGCTGCCTCTCTGGCGGCCGCGCCTCCGGGCGCTCGCGAGCCGGCTAGAGGAAATCTTGTTTAGAAAATACCCAAACAAGGTGTTCCTCTCTTTCCTTCTTTATTGGAGCTTTGGTTTTCAGGCAACCAAGTCCATTTCCGAGTAAGATATCAAATATTACCATTTAGTTAACCATGTGTGTTGTTGATATGTCTGGTTGTTTGGGCAGATGGAGTACCACAACATGACGAGGCGACCAATGTCGCCAACAATGATGTTTGCTATCAAGACCTACACGGCTCAGAACCGACAATACCGACAAAATCAACAATCGTTAAGACAGATAGCATCTTCCCATGGCTATGGTGCGATGAATCTGACATCCAATATCATGCAAGGTGCGAGTGAAAATTCTAGAATGTTTTATGTGACGGGCAATGTTGGCCCTTTGTCCTCTACTGCAGACATGGTTCTGCAGAACGCCAACATGGATACCTCACTGCCAGGTACAGATAGATTTACTGAGATCTTACCCACGCATATCCTTATTAAGGCTAGTAGTAAATGTGTACATTTAATGCACATTAATACTAGATATGATATTAGTTGCATGTTGATATTAGGTAGAATATTAATTGTTCACCAATTATGTTGTAAATTTATGCCGATATTGATACTTGCTATGATATTAATTGCGTGTAAGACATGTTCAACGACTCACCATTGCAGCAATGTAAGTCGTTGGATTAACATATGATTTGATGACTGAGATTAGTTGGATATGTAGACATTAGTTTGGGACTTCTAGCCTAGGAAGCCAGCAGCGTACTATACTGGATAAAAATCAACTTATCTTGTAACAAACACCACTGTTTTTTAGTCCAGCATCTGTGTTCAGAATGAAGCCATGCATCCACTAAGTAGCTATTATGTGATAGAAAAAGCTCTAAGTAAAATGCTAGCCTGAAAGATGTATTACTGGAACAATTTACCCATATTCATATCTGAATTTTCCAATTACACATAGACTATTAAGTCTTGGGAGGATTTTTTCTCCCTAGTTTGCCTGACCATGTTTCCCGTTTACTAACTTCGTATGTCTTGCATTTTTTTCCTAGAAGGAGCTTCTGATGGGCATGTGAACACAATGCTTTCACTAGGGATAAACCCTACACGACATGATCTTTCTGGAGCGTCCAATAACAACCTGTTAACACACAATCTGGATACACGTGAAGCCAACAGATTCTCTGTAATAACTCTAGACTGTGCTACTGCTTTACATATACGAAATATTATTGTTACTATATGTATCCCTAAAGCTCTGCTAAACACTACAGCCCAAGGTGGCGCAGGGACGCCCGGCACCTGTGAAGGATCTCCCAAGGGAACCAAAATTCACCTGCCCAGTCTGCATCAATGAGCTGGTCGATGCATCGTCTACTATCTGCGGCCACATCTTCTGCAAGAAATGCATAGAGGCCTCCATCCGATTTCAGAAGAAGTGCCCTACCTGTCGTAGGAGGCTGACCATGAGAAATTTCCACCGAATCTACCTCCCGGCGATGGATTGAGCTGATCCAGCCATTCTAGGCGTGGTGGAGTATCAACACCCGACCCTTCCTCCTTAACGGCATTTTTGTGATTCTGTCTGAACTATTCTTCATGGGGTTATCACTAGAATTCAAAGCAACGATTTAATAAGTGCTCGACTCATAGTAAACAAACTTTTAATCTGCATCCTTGGTGGTAAAGGATACCTTTCTCGTGGGAATTTGAAACATGTGCCATGGTATTGTGAACATCTGCAAAGAATTACAAATATATTTTTTGCTTGTCAGGGTATATGGTGTGTTCACGCATGCACTCTAGGATATGTGTCTGTGCAAGGCTATCATGTTTAATTAGCAATAGCAGTAGACACTGTTACTGGTCGACCGACTAGGAACAAGTTGAGTAGAGCCCTAAAAGACATCAGACTGATAATTTATTTCCAATTGAGATATGGCCCAATCTCCCTTAAAAGACATAATTGTATTTCCTCACACTACTTGCCTGCTTGACAATTCCTTACCGAAACAGTCTCCAACCAGGACATGATGCTCTCCTTCGTGCTATTATATATTTTTGCATCCTTCCTAATATCTTCTATTTTTTCACACTAAGTGGTGCTTCCATTATATGGGCCTTGGTTTTTGGGCAATAGCATATGTGTCATTCTTTTTTTTTGAGAAAAGGCCCAGCCTACAGTTATATTACCACTGAGGAGATAATACAATCCTCCATGAGGAGGGGTTTAAGAGTGAGGGGGACATCTCCTATACATTTATAATCTCCATGTATTCTAGCAAGAGCGGCAAGCTCATGTGCTAGGTTGTTGCTGGATCTTCTCACGGCCTTGATGGTGACTTCACTGAACATTTTCATGAGGTCCCTACTGTCCGTGACAAGGGGGAAAAGGGCAGATTGATTGTGTAATTTGAAGTCCAGTAGCGCTGGAATGGATGCACAGTCTGTTTCCACACATAGAGGTCTGACGTAAATTTTACTTACAACAGAGAGTCCGTGTAATATCGCAGCTAGTTCGGCTTCTTCCGGATCTTTGCACGACTGCAGACGATTTCCACCTGAGACCACAACAAGCCCCCTGTAGTCTCTGACTATGAATCCAGCTGCGGACTCCCCCGTGCTCGGTATGAATGATGCATCAGTATTCAGCTTCCAGGTACCTGCAGTCGGAGAACCCATTGGCTCCTAGATGAACACCGTCTCACAAGTTGAGTTGGGGCTGATTGCTCTATATGGCACTCATCTCTGTCATTGACGGGCAGGCCATTAATCTGTCCCAGCCCCGTGGCTTGCTTCCCTTTCTTAATTTCCTCACGCTTCCCCTCTTCTTTGTTACTTCCGTGATGTTCCACCACTTGAACATTGGCCATATTATCCGTGTGTCGTCTTTCTCCTAGACTGATTTCATCCGCATATTTAACCAAGAATTGGACCGACTGACCCACCATTGCCCTGCCTTTTGCATGGATGCAGTCATCCCTTAGCCACCATGCTCGCCATAACAACAGGAGCACATTTCTGCGTACTACAGGAGTACATGAGCCCAGGAGGTTTTGTAGCCAATCATTTCCTGTAAAACGAAAACTGTCTTCTGAGGGTAGTTCCCAGACTGACCTCATTTCATGCCTAAGCGCTCTGGCTTTTGTGCATTCAATCACCGCATGGAATTCATTTTCAGTCTTGCTCCCACATATGTTGCATATGTTATCAATTTCCAGGGTTCTTTTCCACTTGTTTTCCTTTGTGGGAAGAGTTTCTGTGGCTACTCGCCAAGCAAAAATCCTAACCTTCTCCGGGACTTTTTCCTTCCAAATGTAATCCCATATGCATCTATTATCAGCTTCAGCACCAAAACTAGAGGCTGGTGGTATGGCCTGTTGTTTGAGCTGAGTTCCCCCAGCTTATATGCACTCCGCACGGAGAATATTCCAGATTTTTTGCCGTGCCATGCAACACAGTTGTCGACATCCCTCCTTGGAATTTTGATCTTACATATTTCATTTGCATCGAAACTGTGAAACAGTTGGTGTATCAGGGCCTCATCCCATTCTTTGGCATCATGTTTCATGAGTTGATTCACCCATCTCAATCTTGACCTCTTCTTAAATTCAGTAACCTTGAGGCCGCTCTTTCTAGGGACCCATTGGTCTCTTTGGATTTGGATTTGTTTCCCATTTCCAACTCTCCATATCAGTCCTTTCTTCAATAGCTCCAGCCCATGTTCAATTCCTCTCCATGTCTGAGAGGCATCTGACGCAAACACTGTGTCCAGAAGCTTACCTTTAGGATAGTATTTTGATTTTAGGACACGGGCACATAGGCTATCTGGCCGTTGGAGGAGGCGCCAACCTTGCCTGGCAAGAAGAGCTTGGTTGAAAATTTTCATATCTCGAAAGCCGATCCCTCCTGCTCTTTTGGGCTTTACCATTTGCTCCCATGCCATCCAATGAACTTTCCTATGCCCTTCCTCCTCTCCCCACCAGAACTCTCTAATCAGTCGCTCATACTTGTCACAAAAACCCACCGAGAATTTGAAAACCCCCATGGCATATGTCGGAAGAGCCTGGACCACCGACTTCACATTCACCTCCTTCGCAGCAAAGGACATATGTCTTCCATCCCAATCGTTGCATTTTTTTGAGAAATTTGTCCATGATGGGCTGGAATTTTGCATCTTTCATTCTCCCTTTCGGGGTTGGAAGACCCAAGTATTTGCTTTCGAAAGTAGCTGTATCACACGCAAGGATATCTTTAATTTCCTGCTGAAGTGTATTAGGACAATGCTCACTAAATAAGATAGAGCACTTACTGCTACTTAGGAGCTGCCCCGTGCATTTTTGGAACATGGATAGAGCTCCTTTCACCACTCTAGCTTGTTCTCTGGTGGCTTTGAAAAATACCAAACTATCATCTGCAAAAAGAAGATTAGAGATCCCAGGCCTATTGCGAGCCACTTTTACAGGAGAGATGCATCCACCTCGAACCTCCCTGTTAAAGATTGTAGCCAGCCCATCAGTAATAAAGAGGAACAAATATGGGCTCAAGGGATCGCCCTGTCTGAGTCCTCTTGTAGGAATGAAGGCCTCTAACATTCCCCCATTCATTTTCACTTGGAATCGGACAGATTTCACACACTTCATGATCCAACCAATCCACACAGCACTGAAACCCACCTTCTCCAGAGCTCCTTCAAGAAAGTCCCAGTCAACTCTGTCATAGGCTTTGGCCAGATCTAACTTGTACGCACGGTGAGTATTGTGAGGATTCTTACTCTGTTGTATTTTATGGAAGCACAAGAAGGCGATAATGGCATTGTCCGTGATCATCCGTCCGGGTATAAACACACTCTGGGTTTCCGATATTAGCTCATCCAAGAACGACCGTGGTCGGTTCACGAGGCATTTGGAGATTACTTTATATATTACACTGCAGAGACTGATCAGTCTGAATTCTTTCAAACTTTGTGGGTTCTTCCCTTTCGCAATAAGCACTATCGCTGTGTCATTAACGCCCTCTGGCATGATTCCATTCTCAAAAAAACTCAACACCGCAGAAACTACATCCTTCTTCAACGTCCCCTAGTTTAGTTGGAAGAAGCGTACCGGAAAGCCATCTGGCCCCGGCGCCTTCAGTGGTCCAATCTGAAAGAGTGCGTCGCTGATTTCTTTTTCTGTAAACTCCTTCGTTAAACTTGTGTTCATCTCCTCAGTCACCCTGCGCGGTAGCATCTCTATTAGTTCAAATGGTGCAACTCCCCTATCCTTTGTGTATAGCTCTTTGAAGAACTCTGTTGCCAAACTATTCAGATCCTCCTTTCTTTCGACCCATGCCCCATTACTGTTTTTCAATTTTTTTATTACATTTTTCTTTTGTCGCCAAGTAGCTTTCCGGTGGAAGAATTTTGTGTTTTGGTCCCCTTCCCGAATCCAAGTTGCTCGTGAGCGCTGCCGCCACATCATTTCTTCTCGTATCAATAGTTCATCTAGCTCAGCTGAAACTTTCTTTACTAGCATCTCCGTTTCATTTCTGTATGGCCTCTCTAGCAACTTTTTGAGACGCTGCCTCTTCTTTTTGATGTTCCAAGTGATAGACCCAAAATCCTTCTTGGACCATTCAGTAAGCGACTTCTGGACACTTCCCAGTTTCTGCATTACATCAGCTAGCGATTTTGCTGGCCCTTCCATGTCCCATGTTTCTTTTACTGTCGGCTCCAGAGACTGGACTCTTTCCCACATAGATTCATACCTGAAGTATCTCTTGTTTGCACTGTTTTGAACTTCCCTTTCATATGACAAAAGGAGTGGGAAGTGATCTGACCGTGAGGTGACTATGTGTTGTACATGAGCATGAGGGAATAATTCGCTCCACTCCATGGAGGCCACGCCTCTATCCAAACGTGCACGCACTTTCTTAATTCCCGCCTGCTTGTTGTCAAAGGTCCAGTCCGGTCCCTGGTAGCCTAGATCATGCACATCACACCAAGCTAGAGCTTCTCTAAAATTACTCATATTTCTTTCAGACCATCTTGTGGCCGAGAAATGCTCCCCCTGCCACATAGTTTCGTTAAAGTCTCCTATTATCATCCACGGCTGAGTTGATCTTTGCTTAATTCTCTTGAGTAGATTCCACATATGGTGTCGCTCGTGGGATTTTGGTTCGCCATACACAAAAGTGCCTTGCCACAAAGGGCCATGAGGATCAGTACGCACATGAACATCAATGTACCTCGGACCATATGAGAGCAATTTTATTTCAATGCTATCGTCCCAGAACAGGGCGATGCCAGCACCTTTACCCACCCCATCATGGGTGATACAGTGCTTCAGACCTAGCCTCCCTCTTATTCTATTGACACTCTCCTCTCCTCACACTGCCGCGTTTCAGATAAGAACACGACAGAGGGGCAGTAGGTGCGCCCTAGGCACACAAGTTCCCGAACTGTCCCGGGATGGCCCAAACCCCGGCAGTTCCAGCACAAGATCGTCATTCCTCCTGACGGGTGCCT